GTTAAGCAGTGGGGAAGAAAAAACTCCACTGGAAATTTCTAAGGACAAGTCATCTCTCATACAAGTTTCCAGCCTGAATTCATGCTACCAATGTGGTCTTAAAAATCTAAAACAACAGAATTTAATTTAATGTGGTCCCAAGTTGTGTCCTTAGCAGCTAATAGGTACAAAAGCAAATCCTGTATGCAGGAATCCATCTTCAATCCAACTAGACTTCAAATAATTCCAGGATATAAAAACTGCAAAGAAAATCAGCAACTCGTAATTTCAAAAACATAAATATGACATCATAAATGAGGCGAAGAAGAGGTAGAGTGGAGATAACATACTGAGAACCAAAAAGATTTCTGAGACTAGAATTTTCAATAGCTCAGTATAAAGTAACTATGTTTAATGTGACTAAAGTAATAAAACAGAAGTTTGAAAATATAAGCAAGGAACAAGAGCTCAACCAAGCAAAGAGAAAAATAAACAACTTCTAGAAATAAAGAATACAATCATTAAACTTAAAAATCTAATATATACATCAACCAGATTAGAGGCAACTGAAAAAGAATTAGTAAACTGAGTAAACCTGAGGAAATAATCCAGAATGCAGATCAGAAATTTTAGAGACATGGAAAACAAAGAAGATCTAACATATTTCAAATTGAGTTCCAGAAGGTAGTAACAGAGAAATGGGAAGACGTAATATTTGAAAAGATAATGACAGAGAATTGTAGAATTTCAGAAAGGTAGAAAGATTCCTCAGATCCAGGAAGCCCAACGAATCTCAAGCAGGATAAATACAAAGAAATACATACCTAGTCACGTTATAGTAAAACTGCAGTTTAGCAGTTTACACCAAGGGGGAAGCAGGGCTTTCAAAATAAAGTTAGCAAAAAAAAAAAAAAAAAAAACAGTCAAATAAACTATGACTACAAAAGCATGATATCTGACTTCTCAACAGCAACTGTGGAAGCCAATAAAAAGTGGAATAACATCTTAAATGTGCTTTTACCCAAAAAAGATCCTCACCTAAAGGAACGTCTATAAGATGCACGACAGACAGAAAGATTTAAGATCAGAGAAATGAGAAAAAGTAGTGAACAAAGATTTTTAATAAATCTAAACAAACAACAACAGATACATTACAGGGGAGAAAGAGCAGAACACACACAAAATACAAGCCAACAACAGCATGTAAACTGGGAGGGTATGATCAGAGTCAAAGCATTCTAAGTTCTTTATACTTTTGAGAAGGAGATTAAACATACCAATTACCTTTAGATCTGAGGTACAGACCTAGCATATATAACTTCCAAACAAGTGCACGCACGTATGTGCATAAGAGGGAGCGAACGTAATAACAAAAAAATTTAACGGCAAAAAAACAAATTGAAAAGAAAAAGCACGTGATAAAATGGCAGAAATATACCCAAACATATCAGTATTTATAATAAAAGTAAACACAATAAACTTCCAGCTAAAAGACAAGGATTATCACATTAGGACAAAGAAAGGTTAAAGCCAAAGGATGGAAAAGTTATACTGTTTTTCTTTTTCCAAATATTAACCAAAAGAAATCTGGTGGAGATGTTACTAAAGAAAAAGTTGTACACACAATAAAAGGTACAATTCATCAGTGTTATGTAATAATTCTAAACTTGTATATATCTCATAACATAGCCTCAAAATACATAAAGCAAGAATTTATAGTACTACCAGGAAAGACCATCAAATCTACCATCCGAGAGGGATAGTCTAACATATTTCTTGGTAATAATAAATTTAAGAAAAGACAATACAGAAGAGCTGTAGAGCAAAACTAAAGGCTTAAGGGGACTGACATATATAAACACTGCTCCCAGCAATCAAAAATATACACTTTTTTCAAGCACAAATGGGCCATGTAGAAAAACTGACCAAATGGTAAACCAAACAGTTAGCCTCAACAAATTGCAAGACTAAAATCAAGCAAGCAAACTACAATAAAGTTAAAAATCAGTGACAGATAACCAGAAATATTTCATCCATCTGGAAATTTAAAAACGCTTTTAATAACTAGTCAAAGAAGAACTATAATGGAAATTATTAAAAATTTAGAGCTAAAAAAATTTAAAATATTACATATCAAAACTTGTAGGATGTGTTATCACAGCTTAAATGCCTACTGTAGAAAAGAAGGAAAGTTTAAAATTAATAAGCAAAATATCTAACAGTTAGAAAAGGAATGACAGGATAAACACAAAGCAGAAGGAGAATATAATTAAGGTAAGAGTAGAAACAAAATAGGAAACAAACATACAATACAAAGGTTCAAGTAAAAATAATTTACTTGGAAAAATAATAAAGTAGATAAAACTCTGACAAGGTTAATCAAGAAAATAAGACATAAACATCATTAGGAATGGAAAAAAAGGACACATTATATTATTGAAACATGTTACTGAAACAAGGACATAACTATACATGTTATACACTCTAAGTGTGTACTTCAGATCTTAACAGCGAATATTATGAACTTCATGTCAATAAATTAAATACTTAAAGTGGATAGATTGCTAGAAAAAAATTGCTGTTAGGTGCCATCGTGTAAGTTCCGACTCATAGCAACCCTATGCACAACAGACGAAACATTGCCCAGTCCTGCGCCATCTTCACAATCATTGTTATGCCTGAGTCTACTGTTTTGGCCACCATGTCAATCTATCTCATTGAGGATCTTCCTCTTTTTCGCTGACCCTCTACCAAGTATGATGTCCTTCTCCAGGGACTGATTCCTCCTGATAACATATCCAAAGTACATGAGACAAAGTCTCGCCATCCCTGCTTCTAAGGACCATTCTGGCTGTATTTCTTCCAAGACAGATTTGTTCATTCTTTTGGTAGTCCATGGTATATTCAACATTCTTCGCCAACACCATAATTCAAAGGCATCAATTCTTCTTCGGTCTTCCTTATTCACTGCCCAGCTTTCGCGTGCATATGAGGTGACTGAAAATACCATGGCTTGAGTCAGGCACACCTTAGTCATCAAGGTGCCATCTTTGCTTTTTAACACTTTAAAGAAGTCTCTTGTAACAGATTTGCTTGATGCAATGTGTCGTTTGATTTCTTGATGGCTGCTTCCACAGGCGTTGATTGTGGATCCAAGTAAAATGAAATCCTTGACAATTTCAATCTTTCTCCATTTATCATAATGTTACTTATTGGTCCAGTTGTGAGGATTTTTGTTATCTTTATGTTGAGGTGTAATTCATACTTCACTTTCAGCAGGCATGGTCATGTTATCTGCATATCGCAGGTTGTTAATGAGTCTTCCTCCAATTCTGATGCCACATTCTTCTTCATATAGCCCAGCTTCTCGGATTATCTGCTCAGCATACAGACTGAATAAGTATGGTGAAAGGATACAACCCTGACACACACCTCTCTTGACTTTAAGCCATCCAATATCCCCTTTTTCTCTCTGAACAACTGCATCTTGATCTACGTACAGGTTCCTCATGAGCACAATTAAGTGTTCTGGAATTCTCATTCATCGGAATGTTATCCATAATTTGTTATGATCCACACAGTAGAATGCCTTTGCATAGTCAACAAAACACAGATAATCATCTTTCTGGTATTCTCTGCTTTCAGCCAGGATCCACCTGACATCAGCAATGACATCCTTCATTTCATATCTTCTTCTGAATCCAGCTTCAATTTTTGGCAGTTCCCCGTAGATGTATTGCTGCAATTGCTTTTGAATGATCTTCAGCAAAATTTTACTTGCGTGTGATATTAATGGTACGGTTCGATAATTTTTTCATTCTGTTGGATCACCTTTCTTTGGAATAGGCAGGAATATGGATCTCTTCCAGTCAGTTGGGCAGGTAGCTGTCTTCCAGATTTCTTGCAACAGACAAGGGAGCACTTCCAGCGTGGCAACCGTTCACTGAAACATCTTAACTGGTATTCTGTCAATTCCTAGAGCCTTGTTTTTCACCAGTGTTTTCAGTACAGCCTGGACTTCTTCCTTCAGTACCATCAGTTCCTGATCATATGCTACCTCCTGAAATGGTTGAAGGTTGACCAATTCTTTCTTGTACAGTGACTGTGTATTTCTTCCATATTCTTTCTTGTACAGTAACTCTGTGTATTTCTTCCATATTCTTTTGATGCTTCCAGCATTGTTCAGTATTTTGCCCATAGAATCCTTCACTATTGCAACTCCAGGCTTGAATTTTTTTCTTCGGTTCTTTCAGCTTGAGAAATGCCAAGCATATTCTTTTTGGTTTTAGTTTTCTAACTCCAGCTCTTTGCACATTTCATTTTAATACTTTACTTTGTCTTCTCGAGCCACCTTTGAAATCTTCTGTTCAGCTCTTTTACTTCAGCATTTCTTCCATTCGCTTTAGCTACTCCATGATAAAGAGCAAGTTTCAGAGTCTCTTCTGACATCCATTTTGGTCTTTTCCTCCTTTCCTGTCTTTTTAAAGCTCTCTTGCTTTCTTCATGTATAATGTCCTTGATGTCAGTCTACAACTTCTCTGGTCTTTGGTCCTCAGTGTTCAACGTGTCAAATCTATGCTTGAAATGGTCTCTAAATTCAGGTGGGATATACTCAAGGTCGTACTCTGGCTCTCGTGGACTTGTTCTAATTTTCTTCAGCTTCAGTAATTGATGATCTGTTCCGCAGTCGACCCCTGGTCTTGATATGACTGATGATACTGAGCTTTTCCATCATCTCTTTCCACAGATGCAGTCAATCTGATTCCTGTGTACTCCATCCAGCAAGGTCCACGTATACAGTCGCCGTTTATACAACTTACCAAAATTGAGTCAAGAAAAACTGAATAGCTTTGTAACATTCAAAGAAATTAAATCAGCAGTTTAAAACCATCCCACAAAGAAAACACATATCCAGAAAGTTTTACAGGTTAAGAATCTCAAACATTCCAGGAACAAACAATCTTCCATAAACTATTCCAGTATACGGAAAAAAGATAATTAAAAACAAAAAGTATACATACCTGTTTCATCAAATGTTGGTACTTTTCCTCCTTTCATAGTTTGTGATCCCTGTCCTTCTTTCTGAATATTTGTGGAATATAACTTTACTTGATTCAGTGCACAAATGTATGGGTGACCACAGGGAACCATGCTTGAAAAGCTTCCAAATGTCACTAAATTCTGCCATTCTAAAAGAAAAAAAAAATATTTTAATTTCAGACAAGCTCACAATAAGTATTTATATACTCAATAAAAGATGCCTACTGGTAGTTCTGGCAAAATGGCGCTCTAGGCAGAAGCACCACACCGTCCCTCCACAGCAAAGATCCGAAAAACTAAGCCGAACAGAGAATAAAACAATCCTGAAACCCTAAAACATCAAATGAAGAGATAAAGAACTCAGCCAAGCACCAAATGGAGTGAGAAAACTACCAGAGAATGGAGAGCGAGGAGAGATTCATGCAGAGGTCCCCTACCAGCTAACGCAGTGCGGATCAGCCACCTTGGACTCCTATCGGAGACCAGCAAACGGAGTATGAGAAAGCAGCCTCATGGAGCTTCCAGCGGGAGACAAAACAACTGGGAATTGGCGATATACGCTTTCCCACTCCCCACCCTTCTTCACTCCGACTCGGCCTCCTCTGCTTCCTGCGGCCACAGTCTCTTGACCGGGAAACAGTGGCTGCTTGGATTCCATACACCTGAACGGGTGGCTCTCTGAGTGCCATTTGTTGGCTGCTAGTGTTGTTTTTTTTCCGCTTCTTTTTATTTCTTCCTTGCCTCACCCGACTTCCCCCTCCTTTCACTCGAGCACCTCGCTCCATGCGCCATCTTTGCTTCTTCCTCAGGGGCTGCAGAGCTCCGGTAATTTGTGATATACGCTTTCCCACTCTCTACCCTTCTTCACCCACACTCGGCCGCCTCTGCTTCCCACGGACACAGTCTCTTGTCCAGAAACACCAGCCCACACTAGCTGGCTCTCTGAGTGCCATTTGTTGGCTGCTAGTGTTGTTTTTTGTTTTTTTTTTTTTTGCTTCTTTTGATTTCTTACTTGCCTCTCACCACCTCCCCCTCCCTTCGCCCAAGTACCTGGCTCCGTGCGCCATCCTTGCTTCTTCCTGAGGGGCTGCAGAGCTCCGTTCGAGTGTGGAGCTGCTTCCCAGTTTGGGCTGCCGTGCTGGTAGGATCCCGGGGCTTTTGTTCGTTTGTTTGTTTTGAATTGTTTGTTTTCTTTTCCTTTTCTTGAGTTGGGAGCCCATCCTGGTCAGGCTGAGCTGCATGGCAGGGAGACTCCCCTTTGGGTTCCACAGACATGCAGAGGGATCCCTGAGCGCATTTCTTTTTACATTGGTTTTTTTTCCCCCCTGTTTCTTTGGGGGCCTTTCTTGTTTTGTTTTGTTTTTTTAATTTGTTTTGTTTTCTTTCTCCTTTTTCCCTTTTTGTCTTTCTTCATTACTCAGTTTTTCGTCTCTCTATATCTTTCTTTTCTTTCTGTTCCCTGAATACCTGGCGTTGTATACCTCTACGCCTTCTAACCAGGCTGTACTGAAAAACCTGACAGCGACTTCCCCAGACCTCATAGCTGCGCCCGTGGGATCCCTGGGAACTCTGCGATTCTTTAACCTTTCTGATTCTTATTTATTCATTCTTTTCTTTTCCTGCTCCTCCCCTTTCTGTTTTTCTCCATTTCATAGTCTCTTATCTCTCCACTCCAATGGCAAGCTTCCCTAGCATTCTTTTTTCTTTGTTTTTATGTTTTTGGCTCCTGTTCCTCTCTCCTCTCTCCCATATCCACCGTAGCTCCACACATAACAATCTCCCCGCTGGATCCTGCCTACCTACAACGTGTGCTTGACATCACCCCACCAAGCAGCACAGGCACAGCCTACTGGAATCTGCCCTGCATTGATTACCGACCACCTCTGGCGGCTGTAGTAAGTGCCACAAACAACCCGTCCCAGTAACTCCTCTTCAGCTAGACCTGCCCTGC